ACGCTCTTCGCCGTTGCAAAGTCCTCTGCCTCCCAGGATTTCGAAGAGATTGAATTTTGCACATGGTCGTAGGCTTTGTGGAGATTGAGGTTTGTAAGTTGTTAAATTGGATTTCATACGACGAATTTCGGAGAGATGTTTTCCGCTGAGAAAATAGGACTCAAAGCTTGGGAGAGTGATGTAAGAAGAAGCCATAGTTTTGCATAAGCAAGATCTTTCCCTTCTAATAATTCTGGCCAAAAAAGGATTTCTTTTTTGTTGGATTGTACCAAATATTTTCTTTAACGTACTATTTTTCTTTAACGTACTATTTTTCTTTCACGTGCAATTTTCTTTCACGTACAATTTTTCTTTCATGTACTATTTTACTTTTAAGTACTATTCTTCTTTCATGTACTAATTTTGTCCTTTCCTTCTTCTTCTGGGTTCTTTACAAACAATACTTTCCCACCCCACATCCGTGGTTGTGTTAAAAGAAAACAACGATTCTTTAACGGAGAATTCTATGTTAGAGCGTGAAAAAAGTATCCAACTGGTGGAATACAATTCCCAGAACTATTAATAAAAATTATATTAAAAATTAAGGAGTTTTTTTTTGTCAAGTTAATTCTACGGTAGTATTATTTTTTTATTTATAAAGATTTGACAAGTTAAAAATAAAAAATTATTGTAATTTATTATTAGAAAAGCTCTTTAAAAAATAAAAAAATAAAAATTCTATAAGATATCAAAAACTACCATAGTTTATTTTTTAATACGCATAAGGTCGATTATTGATGCAGAACCTCGTCCTGCTCGTTTAAAGTCCAAAATAGTCGTGTCGGAACGAGATCGGTCGCTGCCGTGAAGTCCGGAACCGGATAGCCCAGAGGATAGTAGGACCAGATATAGCTACAGTGATAAGTACGAGTACCAATATGATCACATTAACAAGACCTCGATACATGGAAATCAGGAGTACAAATTATGTATGGCAAAGAAGATCACAGAGAAAGTGATAAGAATGAACTGAAGAAAGAAATAGAGAAGCACGGAGATGAATGCGAGGAGCACAAAACTCAGACAAGTGACACGTGGCAGGATCCTGTTGGCCGCCAAGTGTCACCTCCTGATGAGCCGAAGCATGAAGTTTCCAAGGATGTTGGTGATGATCATAGTGATGGGGCTTTGGCTGCTTATTACCTCTCTATTGCTAATATTTCAAAAGAGCTTACTGAAACGGGGACTTTTGACTAGTGCCAAGAGATATTGATGAAGAATCCCGGTATTGGCACTAATGAAGATGATCATGTAAAAAAAAAAAAAAAAACTCTAATATTTATTTAAAGCATTTATTTTATTTGGTGTTAAGTTTAAATTAACACTAACAAAACAAGATTGAAATCTCTACCTCTTTGGTTGATAGGAGGAGGTTATAGGACCCATAATGATTCCCTCTAATTCTATTCCAAGTTCTCTACTTCCTCGCCCAAATGAATCGGTTTTTTTAAATATGTAGGCATAACTTAACGGTAATTTCACATTTAATTTCGCTATAAGGTGTCGAGTCATATCCACCCTCCTCAAGTTTTGGAAAAAAAAAAGTAAATAAATTGATTTACGAAAAGAAAATAATTGTATATCATTTTTTCACAACCTAAAATGCCACTTGTGAGATTTTTCTGACTATTTGTTATCGTTTTGCTTGTAGAGAGCCATGTCAATGTACAAAAAGCAGAAAGAAGAAAATCAGTCCCTTTATAGATCATATCTAAAAGGAGATTAGAAGGACTTCGTTGTTGTGCAGTTCAGATCAGAAGCAGTGACTAATTTGAAGTGCTAGAATGCTAGTCATATTCTTCTAATAAGGATCTATAAGAGGAATTTCTTGGATTCTCAGAAGGCTAATTATAAGGATCTTACTTGCTTATGTTAAAAAGTGCATATTGAGCTTATGCTTGTTTTTAGGAAAATTGACATTGTTTTTCACTTAGATGTTTTTATTTTGTGATGAAACTTTAGGTTAGGAGTACTTGTGACTGGTTTTTTTTTTTTTTTTTATCTGCTAGGCCTAAAATATGCAGATTATTTTTCTATTAAGAATATAGATATTGTTTTGCATTTTAGAAATTTGAGAGAATTTATTTTCCCTTCAACCCTTTTTGAGTGCTGTCATTTACTTTTTGTAGTGCTTACCCACTCATTTGTCTCTTGAGCTCACACTTTGTATTAGCTTTTGTTTTTTATGTCTTATTTCCTCAGATATTAGGAAACCTTGTCTATGGGTGCCCCATTATGGGATTCCTTTTCGTTCTTTCTTTCTTTTTTTTCTTTTTTGGTAGAGCACTATGGGATTCCTGTGAATTTTTCCCCATTTACATATCCGTATTCACTTATAAAAAAATTGCATATATGCAAATTATTTTCAGAATTCTTAACAAGGAAAAATAGTATTTTGTTGAGGATGAATGTTTTAACAAGCAAGAAGAAAGAAAATTTACTAATCCTTACTATCACGCAATCTATTAGTTATGATCATCATTAGCTCTAACCAACGTTTGTCAGCTCAATCCTCAAGGAATAAGGGATTTTATTTTGCTTATCCTATTATTGGTGTGTATATATATATATATATATATATATTTTTTTTTTTTTTTAAACAAAGATTATCATCTCAACTAAAGATAAATATATGTGTTATGGCATGACAGCGTGGTTATGCCAGGGCCTACCATTGAAATTGAAACCCAATTTAATTATCAAATTATGATTAATTAATTCCACCTTCATCACTCATCACAATTATACCCCTAAATTACTATGAAAATAACACCACCCAAATGCCCACGTGTCCAGACATTGTAAGGATAAGATGGTCTTTTCGACGTTGTCCACTACGAATGAAACTAAAACCAGAACCAAAATACCGGACAGTCATAACAAAAGGGTCAAAGGCTTTCCATGAACACAAGAACCTTCATTGTCTTCTCTCTCCTCTTAAAAGGTCTCTTTCTACGGGTATGTATGATCCTCTCTTTAGCTTTTTTGCTAATGTTTTTTTAATTCTTATTTATTAGATCCCTTATCCGTTTCTTCAATAAATTTCTATGCTTTATTCTCTGCAATTCATGTATCAAATAGTTAACTTTATCAACAAATTTGAGTTTTTTTTTGGCGAATTATTAAGTTGTTTTTGAAGAATTTAAGTGTCTTATGAGTTTGATCTAGTTGTTTAGTACGTAAATTTTTCTGGGGTAAATTGTGAAATAAATCCTTTCTAGTGAATTTCAGCAGCTGGGCAAATTCATTCTTCTTTTTTTTCCCCATTAGTTTTAAGTTTGACGTCGATCAGCTTTATTTTTGTTTATTATTTGGTGTTATTTTTATATCATAGGAGATGGAGAATTATGGGTTTATAGTTGTTTGTTTGTGAGTCATAGACTTTATTTTGTCAGATTATGACGAAGCTTCCATTTAATTCCAAGAATGTTCTTTGAGATCATAACACAAACGCTTATCCTTCATGTTTGTGTAAATAGGAAATAGTCTTCTAAAAGTGAAATTAAGCTTCATGGATGATGGTGTTGGGAAAATAAAGATTATCCCAGATCACTTTAATGCTTCCGCTTCCAGTTCAGACTCTCTTCAAAACGGAACTCCATCTGTTTCGCGGCCAAGAACCGAAAATTCTTTGAGGTACTTCTTTTTGAAGGGAAGAAGATATAGAATCAACATATAGGGTTTAGTGGCTGTGAGTTGATCTCGGTTTTCACATTGACTGGTGTAGCATAGGCCGTCCCAAAGCCGCGTCTGGAGTCGGAGAAAATTAAAGAGTGCTGCATACATGTTGAACTTGTTAAGCCTCCGGAGACTCCCTTGGAGTTCCGGTGCTGATGGCCAGGAAAAGGTTTGTTGGAAAGTTATTTTTATTTTTATTTTGGTGTAGTTTGTCTGAAATTTCCAGGTTCCTGAGTACTAGAGTTGTTTATTGCAGGTTGAACTAACTGCTGCAGAAGTCGAATCTCTTCGGTCGGAGATTGCTGATTTAGAAGAGAGGGAAGCTCACTTAAAAGCTCAGTAAGGAGATCTTGATGCGCCATTTTCACTTAGTATTGTTATTCCTTTGGATTTTGGGTAATCTTGATCCGTCTTGATCATGTTACAAGTCCTCCACATATAGATAGAATAAATATCGTCCAAAAGCTTTAGAGTATTTCAGTGTCAAACTTAAATGAATACGTATGATGTAATTTAGGCCATGGGTACCAAAGGAAAAGTGGGCCTTCCTTTTCATTCTCGTATATTTGTCTTTATCAAAAAAAAAAAAAAAGATTTTGTTCCTGTTAATATATGATTGAAAATGTTTTTCCTGGATATTGGCTGTAGTACTCAATAATGTGATAAATCGCGAGACCTTGGTGTCCTCTGTATGTACCTGTCTATACGGTTTTACCTAAAATTGTGTTTTATGATGACATGAACTTATCTATTCAATTTTAATTAAATTCCCTCTTGTACTTGCATTAACTGTGTCACCATTTGTTAAGGTTGGAACATACAGATGAAATTCTGCGGTCTGCTCGTCTCTCTGGCTATTTGTACATACGAACTGTAATGACCATCTTCTCACTTATTTTCCTTTTATTCTTTACTACTTAATAGTTTGAGTTTTGACTGGTGCTTGCCCTTAATTTCTCTAAAATAGAGGTGGACAGCACTACCAGGAGAACCCCCTCCTCTTGACGACACCGATGTTGATGACTGGCTTCCTCGCTTCGTTGTCCTACATGGACCATGTCTCTTCTTCTTTCTAATCTCCACAGGTAATTAAATGTTTTGTGGTGCTCGTTAATGTTATTATTAAAGTGTAACTAAATGTACAGGTTAAGTATACTACTTAGGCAGCAGTCTCTGCTAAGTATACTATAAGACAAAATTATAAATCTCTCTCTCTCTCTCTCTCTCTCAAACTATAGCTCTGCTATAAATCATCTGTCCAGAGTGCAATGCATGGGATTAGTTAGTCCGTTATAATGTGTTCAAATATAAAAACTATTGTTGGACCACCTCCTAATAACTTAAGCTTTTGGGATGGATTAGTAAACTGACGTGGTATCAGTGCGCAAGAGACATCACACATTGGGTCTTTATTATGTTTCAGGCTTATTATTTAATATCCAGTGTTGGCTTTCCAATTAATTTAGCCCACACGATTGCCCATTGTCCAGTCCACACGTGAGGGAGAGTGTTGAAATATAAAAAGCTATTGTTGGCCCACCTCCTAATTGCTTAAGCTTTTGGAATGGATTGGTTAACTAATATAATGTTTTCCCTTTCCATATTGGGGTGGCCATGATAATTTATCTTCTTTGACGTTTTTGTGGTTGAATGTATACCAGTGGTTAGGATCAGGTAAAGTAGCCAGGTGAACTTCCTCTTTTCAGTCAAATTATCGTAGATATTAGAATCCGCTGCATCTATGTGACCCTTTCTTTGACTTGCTTAAGATATGTTATTTTCAATTTCACAATAGTAGGACTAGGAATCCTTGTATTTTATCCCAGATTAGTTTATATTAAGGACTAAGCTAAGCAGCAAATTACCTGATATTGAACATCAATGTGGCATCCGTGTCTAGCAGACGCAGTTTTAATGTACTTGTAATACTTGATAGATATCTTACCATGATTCTTTTATTAAGTTGTTGCAAATTGCAATTTAAAGAATTTGGCAGCTGATGAGCTTAAAGATAAATTTGCAGATCTGAGTCCTCAAGACTCCACTCTGTTATCGGATGTTGACGAAATAGCTTCCTTGCCAAGTTTCGTACGCGAAGGTGAAGGGACAATATATGCATTTTATATATCAACTCATCAAGGGTTGCGTATCGAGTGCTCGAGCAGTTCTAAGATTCAGGTATTCCTTATTGTTTTAGCAGGATACAAAATGTTGTTATGGTTGCTAATTACTACTTCACTCCTAGGGTTATGGCTTTGAAGTGTAATTTTTTTTTTCTGCCATGATTCTAATTATTTTAATACGGGAAGTTAATTTTGAATGCTTTACTAATTTGATTTTGAAGAACCATTGGGCTTCATTGAACATGAAGATACGAGGATTTACTTTCAAGTATTGAGAGCAAAGAAAATACTGATGAACCATGGAAGAGACTGGAATCCTAAAGAAAATAGTAGAAAATTAACCCTACCTCCCCCCCCAACAAGCCTTAATCCCAACTTAATTGGGGTCGGCTATATGAATTTCACTTTTTCACGCAGTTCTGTTCGAAATTAAACTTTTTTGAAAGCCTAGATCTAGAATGTCTTTCCTAACTATTTCGGGAAAAAAAAAAGGAGTGAGGGAGGGCTCTATAGTTAGGATTCCTGTTTATGTAAGTTTAACTTGTAACTTTATTCTACCAGTGCATGATCTTTATGCTCTTGTTGCTTGTCAAATTATATTTCTGTCTTCTGTTTTTGTATTCTCATGTTTACTTTATATCTATGCGATTCTAATGATGCACGGTCAAATTGGGTTTTTTTTTTTAATCCAGTGTGTGGTTTATGACTCTCACTTTACTAATAAAAAATAAAACTACCAGAGTTCGAATCTTAGTGAATACACGCACACACTCCCGCATAAGGTTGTACACGAAGCTGCTTATAACTCGACGGGGGTTGAGTCCCCACTCAAATTTTTATTTTAAAATTTTTTTTTTAATACAGTGTGCGGCTTATGACTCTCACTTTTCTAACAAAAAATAAAACTATCTTAGTGAATACATGCACACACTCCCGCATAAGGTTGTACACGAAGCTGCTTATAACTCGATGGGGGTTGAGTCTCCACTCAAATTTTTTTTTAAAAGTTCTATGTATTATGTTATATTCATATAACCCCCGCTAAATATATAAAAAAAATCTCATAATTCCCGTTAAATTTTTATTTTATTTATTAATCCCACTGATAAAATATTCAAGCTTCATCAGCATTGGGTTAACTTATGGAAATGTGATAGTTATATGTAACTGATGTTTTGTTTCTTTTCTCAGGTAGACGCCTGGTTGACAGCGTTAAAAACAGATTGCAAACTGGGGTTTGATACTAAAGCTCCTAATGGAATGTACGATGTAAATTAATTAACTATTTTCAGCTCTCTACTTGTACATAGGTTGAGTTAGATTTATGGTTCAAACAGCCAATAAACTTTTATCATAGAAGAAATTCATTCATTCTACCTTTGTTTATCAAATTTTGTTTAAAGATTGCTCCAATGAACAAATTGCTTGACCTAATATTTATATGTAAACATGACCATTCGTGTTAGTGGGTTGTGTTCGTGTCAATCCGTATATTAATCGTGTCAGAAAATATCAACTCAAACACGACATGTTTATTAAACGTGTCAAAAATATCAACATAAATACAACTCATTTATTAATCGTGTCAACTTGTATAACCCGTTTAAATTAATATATTGAATAAATGATTAATATAATAATAATTTATTTAACATGGTCAAGACATGTTTAACATGTTTACTGGTCAATTTATCTTTTTCTTTAAAAAAAATAAATGAAGTTTACCTATAAATATTAAAATTCACATTATTTGTATATAATATGTCATAAAAATTTTCATATTATATCACATATCATTACATTGTAAATGACACGTATAGTTAATCATGTCAATTCGTGTTAAGAGGTCAACCCTAATCTAACTTATTTATTAATCGTGTCAATTCGTGTTAAGAGGTCAACACTAATCTAACTTATTTATTAATCGTGTCAATTCGTGTTAAGAGGTCAACACTAATCTAACTTATTTATTAATCGTGTCAATTCGTGTTAAGAGGTCAACACTAATCTAACTTATTTATTAATCGTGTCAATTCGTGTTAAGAGGTCAACACTAATCTAACATATTTATTAATCGTGCCAGCCGGATTATGACTCAAACCCATTTATAGTAAATTCAAACCTGTTAATTTCGTGCGGATTTTAAGTTGTGCTGTCGTATCGCTACCCAAATTGTCGGCCCTATTTATATGACAAAAATATCTCTCAATCTACTAAAGCGTAAAATATTCGCACATGTGTCCCTTAAACCTTTTACTATTGATAAGTTACTCTCTAAATTTTAGTTTGGGCAATTTACATCAACACTCCTTGTGTTTTTGCCAAAATAACACTAACACCCTCTTGACTGAAACTAATCACGTCAACACCCATGACTTTTGAAAAAAATTACAAGAAGAAATTGTTGAGTGTTTATTTTCAAAAAATGCCAGAAATGCCCCTCCATGTAGCTGAAAACGTTTTAAACCAATATGTAATGCCGAAATGTCAATTTTACTCTTATTTAACACTAGAAAAATTAGAACCCGTTTAGTTCACTGATTCGAATTTTTAATTCGAGTTGAGATGTGACTTTATGTTAGAGTTTTTTTACTATAGTAAAAAAGTTAAATGTGACTTTCTGAGAGCTTTTTACTGTAGCAAAATTTAAATTCTAAACTCAAATCGGTAAAATGAAAGGGGCGTTAAACTTTCTGGATTGGTTTGCCTTACAATCTCTGCATACTTTGGGAGCTTGCAATGACTTAAAGCACAGTTTCCTTCACAACCGTCTTTCACTTTCAACCGTGCTCTATATGAGGTCTTTCAACATTTTTCTAAATTCATCAACACTCGTGAATTCTTGGCCTTTTTCAAACTTTACCTTCCCATCATCTTGGAGTCGAAACTCATGTCTTCCAAATCTTCTTCCTTTAACTTTTCTTCTTCACATTGTGAGTATTCTCATCTGAACTCTCTCCAGTCTCATCTCCAGATTGAAATTTAGACCATTCATCAGAACTTTCCTTCGAAGACTTGTAGACCTTTATACAACACAACTAGATCTTGAAGATTCGCCTACACACAGAGCAATCATAAATTTCAAACACTTGATAATTGCACGTTTTGATTTATTCTCCCTAATATATGCATGTTTTGATCTGCAATGTCTTGACATTATTTCTTTCCCAATGTGGCCGAATGTCTTTGATCATTATTCAGTGTTTTTAGGCACTTGGTAGGAAAATCGTGTAGTTTTCTAATTGGGTTTTCCATGCTACTAACGATTTAACTATTCTTTTATCGGATCCTTTTCTTGACCGATAGTCACTTTCTCATAATACTAACAAAAATCATATTTGAATGCATAAAAATGCAAATGGTATTTTGGAAGTATTTGTAGCACTAATAGGCCTCTAGTTTTTGGTTGCACAAATGTATGAGAATTTGAGAACAAAAAAACTCACCATTTTTGAATCAAGATGGGGGAGGAGCCCGGCGGCAGCTATTTTGGACGGGAGGTGGCTATGGCAGCGTCGGGCTGGGTCTGCTCGTCGGCATGTGGCTATGGAGGTGGTGGCTGGGTCTGCACGTCGTGGGTCTGCGTCAAGGCAGGTGAGTCGCTTTCACGTTCCAGTGGCGAAGGGGGGTTACGCGAGTTGCCGGAGTCGAGGGCGTTGCTGGCGTCGCGCGAGCTCGGCTTGGGATAGGAGGTCGGCGCAGGTCGCCACAGGTGGGATGGGAGAGGGGCTGCTGAGTTTGGTTGGATGGGAGTCAAAGAATATGATCTTAGGGCATTTAGTTCGCTGATTCAAGTTTTTAATTCGAATTGAGATGTGACTTTATGTGAGAACTTTTTACTGTAACAAAAAAATTAGATGTCACTGTTTCTGAAAGTTTTTTACTGTAGCAAAACTCGAATTCTAAACTTAAATCGATGAAATGAACGCGACCTTAGGGTTTTCTCAAATTGAATGGACGGCTTAGATCTAATAGTTATGAATTAATGGCTGAAATTAAAAGGGGTATTTTTGACATTTCAACCCTAAATTTAACAGAATTTGGAACAGAGGGTATTAATGTTATTAATTTCAGTCAAGAGGTGTCAATGTTATTTTGGCAAAACACAGGGGACGTCAGTGTAAATTGCCCTTTTAGTTTTGAAAATTTTGACTCTGAAATTTAGCAAATTGTTAGTGTCCCTTAGGAGTGTACACTGAATCCGTCAATCCGTCCAATCCAATCTGTCGAATTGGATTTGATTGAAAAAATTTTGAATTGATAACAGATTGAGATTTTTTCAATCCACGTTAACGGATTGGATTGAACATTTTTCAATCCGTATAATCCGTCAATCCGAAGTGTATATATATATATATATATATATATTTGTATATTTTTAATAATATATAAGAGATTTTTCTTAATTGTATGTATACACATTTAACTATACATGTATTATGTTATATTGTGTTGTAATGAATTGTGGAACTATTTAACTTTTATGTTATGTTATGTTTGTGTTTAATTTTGTATTTAATTTCATGAGAATATAAAAAATATAGGTCAATTCGTCAATCCGTATAATTCAATCCGTAAATTCGGATTGAATTGGATTGGATTGGGAGTCAAACAGACTAGTAATGGATTGAGATTTTTCAATCCGTATAAACGGATTAGATTGCAGATTGACCCCTAATCCGCATAATTCGATCCGTGTACACCCCTAGTGTCCCCAAATCAAAATGTTAAGGTGCTCTGTAACAATTTGTTTAATTCAATGGGTAATTTATGAAAATTAAATTGTACGGGGCAACTTGTTAATTCAATCAAATGCAGGCAGCAAAAGTTCAAGTAATGGAAAGATAGGAATCATATTCTTAAAGTGAAACAGCTTTTACAAATGTCCCTACTTTGTAGAGTCTTATCGTCAATTAAACACAAGCATAGCTTCATTAACAATAACGTTTTGTAGCTTCTTTCTTATGTATTATTACTTCGAATCAAACTGTTTTAAAATTAATACCCCATTTGGTTTTTTGCTTTAGAAAAGCAATGATGGTTGCCTTACCTACCATTATATCAATATTAATATCAATTTTTATGCTCCACGTGAATCACAAAATATTAAGAAGACATTTAGTAAGAGGATTCATATCATGATTCACAATTCGTTATAGTATTTTTTAAAAAAAAAAATACACGTAAATTGAAAATAATTTTAATTTCATAATTCTAATTCATGAATTAAACGTCTACTAAAAAAACACAGAGTAGGTCCAAAATCATGTTCTTTTGCAAAGGAAAGACCGGTTGATTTGGTTGAAGTTTAATCAATAAAATCATAAAAAAAGTAAATTAAAATGGGGAAAAAAACAATAAAAGCATCAAAGAGAAAGGGAACAGTACAAAAAAGGGGTGAAGTAGACGTGAGAATCTGCTTCGTGCCATCAAGTCTCGAGCAAAAGAATTCACTCCTTTTCTTTTTTCTTTTCCTCTTTTGAGTTCAGTTTTTGCTTCTCTCAATTTACCCAAATAAGGTAGGGGAAGAGAAAGAGGTGCTCTCTGTCTACTAAAAGAAACTAGAAGGCCCCTTTCATAGCGTTTGCAAATGGGTAACAAAATGGAAATGAAAATTCTCAGAAGATGTCTTTCGTTTCATCGTTTTTTAAAATGTGTTTGGATTCATTTATATTAAAAATAAAAATGAGAAATGCCCGTTGAACTTTTTCTATTTTTTAAACAAAATTTCAAAATGATAATTTTCCTTTCATTTCTATTTTTCATTAAGAAATGCAAAAAAAAAAAAAAAAATAAATAAATAAATTCATACCCATTTTTAATGGACACGCCTCGGATAATTTTCCTTTCATTTCTATTTTTCATTAAGAAATGCAAAAAAAAAAATAAAATAAATAAATAAATTCATACCCATTTTTAATGGACACGCCTCGGAAAAAAAAAAAGACGAGAAAAACGTTTCCGAACCATGATCAAATGGACAGTACTCCTGGTTCTCAATAACACCTTGAATTTTGAGTTTTGAGCAAAGCATATTAATATATATTTTAAAAAGTCATTAAGTTATAATTTTAAATCAGGAAGAAAATAGTAAATAGTATTTTTATGAAACTAAATTAAATAAAAAATATATTTTAAAATTATTTAAAATAAAAAACAGTTTTCATAGTAAAAGAACCATTTATTTTGTAAATAATTTATTTATGGTTAGTGGAAATATTTTTTTACATAAATTTTCTCTTTACGATTGGTAAAAATATTTTTTTTCATGTAAATAAAGATTTTTTACAACGTAAGTTATTTTTACCAGTCGTAAATGAATTATTTATGCAGTAAATTTTTACTATGTAAATTACTATTTATACTATTTACTTAATTTAGTTTTAAAAATTTATTATTTAATACAATTTTCTTTTAAAGCGTCAAATTATAAAAGAAAAGGAAAATTAACCAAGCATGATGTATATATCTGATAGTCTTCATGAAAGACATGAAATACACGGCTTTGTTCACTTCTCAATTTGAGTTTTTAATTTGAGTTGAGATGTGACATTTTTTTAAAGTTTTTTACTGTAATAAAAAAAATTAAATGTGACATTTTTTGATAATTTTTTACTATAAAAACTTAAAACTGAAAATTTAAATCGGTGAAATGAACTAGGTCTATACGTGAAGGTAAGTACAGCTACGTGACAATAACATTAAAAAAGATGTTACAACAAAAGGTGTAACAGCAAAGTTGTATAACTACTTCCGCAAACCAGTTAAACTAAACGGATAACCAAACGAACCGTTATCACATTGGTTTCCATACAGTTCGGGTAGGGTTTGACCTGACCACACAAAGTAAAAAAGAAGAAGCAACCAATCGCTGTCGTTTTTTGACCTTGCTCCACTACTACTATACATTTATGGGATATTTATCTTTCTTCTCCTTCTTCCCACATTATCACTCTCACTGTTCTGTTCTCTTCTGCACTGCAAAAATCTCATCTTTCAATCTCTCTCTCTAAGATTCCGACGATGAGTTCTCAGATTTTCCGATCTGCTTCCAGAGCCGCCAGGTCGATCGTCAATGCCTCTAAGAGCGCTCGGTTTTTCTCCGGTAAGTTTTTTGATCGGATTTTCTTTTTCTCGTTTTGTTTTTAGAATCTTACATTTTTACGAGTTTCGATTTTTTTTTTTGTTCTGTAAGCGTTGAAATCTTGAGACTTTATTGTGATTTCGGTGCTAGATTCTGATCTATGAACTTCATATGTGTTTGTTTAGGAGGAAAATCTTTCCCTGATCTGATGGAGCTGATTCTATCACGTTTTTGTTTAGTGTCGTGTGTGATTTGTTAATCTGAAATGGTGTGCCTTTATTATGGTTCCTCTGCTAGGTTCTGATCTGTGAACTTGATATGTGTTTGTTTCGAAGGAAAATCTTTCCCTGGTTTCATCAGAGTATTGATAAGCCGATAAAATGGTTGGTTTTTCGTAAAGTTTCTTCTTTTACGTTTGGTTTTTAATTTTTTTTAAATCTTCAAATAACATATTGTGAATCGAGCAGCAAACAACGTCCAATAGGACAAACTGAGCTTATAAAACATTTTTTATTTTTATTTCTGCTGAATTAAAAAATAGATTTGATCTCTTTTCAGGTAATTATTACCAGTTTTTTTAAATCACTGTTTACCTTTTTGCTTCAAAGGAACATAAATCCGAAATGATTGATCTCCGTGGAGTGTGATCACTATTCTTGTTGTGATTTGCACGTGGGCCATGGCGGGCCCACCCGTGGAGCGGACAGTGAACGGCTTAGATTTCTTTTTCCGGCGATGGGACTTCCGTTTTGGCTTTTATGCGTAACTATTTTCTGTAACTATCCTATTTGCCTTCCTACGTAGAAAAAGAGAGAGATCTAATAAAAAGATTAATATTTTTTTTCTCATTGATTTGATTACTGTTACGCGTGTTTAATATGGTCACTTCAATTTTTTTCTTTTCTTTTTTGGTTGCTTGAAGTATGGATCATGGATGTGGATATTTATTTACTCTCTTTTTCAGGGCAGGTCAAGGTGGTCTGTAATTATTATTATTTTTCTTTTTCTGTTTGACTTTAAGTCTTCTCCAAAATCTATTTTTTATTGACAAAGCAATTACACGTTTCTAATACCCTGCTTTCCCGTTGAGCTAACACAAGGTTTACTTCGCTCGCCATTGCACGCAAAATTAATTAAATGGATAAACATTAACCTTCCCACCTTGAGATGTTAGATTGTTAAGAGAGTGTTTGGTATGAGGATTCGTGTCATGGCTCGAATCATGATTCGTGGCTCACTACAGTATTTTTTTTCATAAAATATACTCGTAAACTAAGAATAATTTTAAATAATGGTTATGAATCTGTGAACCCAACGTCTACTAAATTATTGTGTGTACTTTTTGTGAATTTGTGCAAAAATAATACATAACCACAACCTTGTCTGTATATAATCCCTATCATGTCCTCTTTGCAGAGGGACGGGCTGTGGCTGCTGCTGCCGCTGTATCCGGCAGGAGCATAGCTTCAAACTTTGGAAGGGCTGGTTCTGATAACGCATTCAAAACATGGATCTCTGGAGCTCTTGCCCTCCCTGCAGCAGGTGTGGACAATAAAACTTGGATTGTCATCGTGTTATTTTGTGGATCCAACTCATATGTTTGTATCCCGTTGTACAATATGCACAGTAAAAAATGCATAGTAAAAAATGATAGAACCTAAATAACCTATATTAGGAACTTCCTTGGTAGGTTCAGTCCTTAAGCACAATAGTTACCCTCAGTTCAGAATTATGATGAAAACTACCAAGGAATGTATGATGCTGGCTAATAGTTATATCTGCTGGGCCTTTCTTACTAGTTTCACATGCTAATAAGTGACCTCGTGCTTTATTTTAAATGTAATAATGAACTATCTTTTAACATTGAATTATTGTTGATGATATTAAGAGGATTGCCTCTGTAATTTGTTTGAAGCATAGAAGCATGACATAGTTTGGGGTATTGTATTTATATATGCCATGAGTATGGAGTCAAGATCTGCCGTCTCTGTTGGACTGTCTCCCTTGCTGTCTCACCACTCTAACGGAAAATATATTTTTCGAGTGAAATGACTTGTCTGTTTTAATAAGGTGTCAGTATATGAGTGGTGGGACAACCAAAGGGATAGCCAAATGGGGATAGCCGATCTTGACTCATGAGCATGGCCAACTTCTTACATTGTAGACATGTGCATATTTTATAGGGCATGTAATTGAATAAACCTATTTTTATTGTTCATTTAAAAGTCCCATTTTCTTAATTCATAAACAGAGAGCATTTTTGCCAATTGCCCACAAGCTGGACAATTTATCATGAAAAAAGTAGAGAGTAGTCCTCTTCGTTCACACCCAGTTAAGATCAAATAGCCTAGATGTATGTCATGATTAGTGATTAACACCACACGAAATAGAATGTGGGTCCAACTTATGAACCAATAGGTGAGAGCCACATCCTATTTGTTGTGGCGTTGGTCACTACTAGTGGCCAACATTGTGGTGGACTTGAATACATCGAGGTATCAAATATGTTTGTGGTTCATGCTCTAATGCATGCTGTAAATCGTAAAACATAATTTGATGAGTTTTGTTATTTAAGTGCACAAACAATGTCTAACGATTATCGGAGTCACTGTTTTCAAATTTATGGTTTAGTACGTTAATTGTTCGTACTCAAACACGCATATAAATCTGAAAATGGAATTTGTCGACTATTTGTTGTTGAAATGCATTAAGGATTCCAACTATTGGTACCAGGACACCATTTTCAGATTTATGGAATGTGTTAGGCTATGGACAATTCCTCTTCGGGCTTCAAGTGTATGTGCAAAAGACGAAATACTATTTTCTACTCTCAATGAGAAAATATCAGTTTGCTTAATGGGCCAGTAATGATTTCTATCTTCCGGATGAGAGCAATGACATTCTTGCGTGTACAATAAAAGTGGATGCATCATAAGCCATAAAAATAAACCGTTATGTAAATACTTTGCAAAATCACATAGCAGTTTAAACTTGAGATTCACCGAAAAAGGAGGGAAAAAGAAAAAAGGGATGGTCCATAGTAATCTATTTTCAATTGTTATGCTAGTCTGGATTAAGACATGATTCATGCATCTCAACGAGTATAACTACTACAAACTCTTTCTTAAAACTCGTCATTTATCGCTTTTCTTTTTGTGTATATGCAGCCTACATGTTCCTGGACCAAGAGGTTCACGCTGCAGAGGTATTCTTAGCACCTCATATTCCATCTCTTTTATTTTGAATATTGTCTTTGCCTTCTCTGTTGTGAGCATTTTTTTTCGATCCAGTTTGAACACACTTTTATCGCTATCAAGCCTGATGGGGTGCAAAGAGGACTGGTAAGTTACCAACATCACCTGTGTTCGTACCACTTGACTATGTTATCCAATGTGGGAGTCTGGGACAGTTATTGTTTTTGTCCTCAAATCTATGTTCACCTAGTAATGTTCCACATTTCAGATTGCAGAAATCATCTCCAGATTCGAGCGAAAAGGGTTTAAACTAGTTGCCATAAAAGTTGTGATTCCTTCAAAGGAATTTGCTCAGAAGCATTATCATGATCTGAAGGAAAGACCCTTCTTCAATGGCCTGTGCGACTTTCTTAGCTCTGGCCCTGTTGTTGCAATGGTTAGAACCATATCTATCCTTGTTTACTTAACAATATTTAAACTAGCTAGAGCTCATTCTTTTAACTGCTTCAGGTATGGGAAGGAGAGGGTCTGATAAAGTATGGTCGCAAACTCATCAGCGCCACAGATCCACAAAAATCAGAACCCGGAACCATCAGAGGTGACCTAGCAGTTGTTGTTGGAAGGTACAACTTGAACTTTTTGGTGTGCTGACTGATTTTTCATCCTTATAACTTGTTTCTCCGAGTCTGTTGTTCTTTGTCACTTTAGTTTTGACTTCTAAAATGAGCAGTTCTATTACTTTGTTGTCACCACCCGGTTTTTTGTTTGCTACGCAGAAATATCATTCATGGAAGTGATGGTCCCGAGACTGCGAAAGACGAAATCAACTTATGGTTCAAACCAGAGGAGTTGGTTTCTTACACAAGCAATGCAGAGAAGTGGGTCTATGGTGTTAACTGATCAAAGTCTTTTGTTTTCTAATACGTTTTCGGCTATGGTAGACTGGTAGTTTCCCCACATGAAGAGTAGAATAAAACTGATTGTTACAATAAAACTGTTCCGTTGAGGGTGAGCAGAAATTTGCTTCGCACAAACAGTTTGCGAAATGAAAATCTCATCAATAATAATTTCTTATTTTTATTTATTTAATCCCATTTTGCCACAGTAGTTGTCTTCCACATTTGTGGAGACAAGCTTCATTTTCATGTTGTTATGATAATTCACGAGAAGAATGACTCTTAGGAGACGTTTGGTTCATGGATTAGAATCATGAGATTATAACAATTTTTAATTTACGTGTATTTTTTGTGAGAGAAAACGCTATAGCGAATCATGAATCATGATTCGAATCGGAATACGAATCCCCCAACTAAACAATCCCTTAGTTTTCACCCCAAAAAAAAAAAAAAAATGTCTCAATACTTTTTTGACTTTTGATGAACTTTCTTGATCATTCGTACAGTATGGACACTATCTCCTTCCTACAAGATAGATTTGCATCCTATTCGCTAGCAAACTCGGATATCATATGAATTTATGTAATTTGGTACATTCTACATGTGACATTACGATAAAATATTGGAAGTAAACGATAAAAAAAAGTAATAGCTTTCCTTCCTATTCGCTAGTAATATGAATTTCTTTCAAGCAAAAAAGAAGTAAATTATGAATGAATTTCACCAACAAAAGGAAAAAGAATAAAGAAAAATAATATGAATTTCACGGTGAAATTTTCACCAACAAAAAAAAAAAAAAGATTTTTTTGCATAGATACTCTTTAAACTTTACTCATTTAACTAATTTAGTCCTTAAACTAAATTTCTTGACAATTGACCCTTTAAACTTAAAAATTATTGGGTGCGTTTGAAATTTATTTTAAAATGATTTTATTTTTTTGTATGAAAATAGAAATAAAAACTTTTTCAATCTCAGATAAAAATTATTTTTAAAAATACGTTTGGTAGTTTTATCAAAAAATTATTTTCAATATAAAAAAATCTATTAATGTCTTTTTCTCTTTGCTTGAGAGAGGAAAAAATAAAAATAAAAAATGAAGAATGACTAAAAATAATTTTTTATTTCTCTCTCATTTTATACTAAATAAAAAAATTATTTTATTTTTATTTTTTATCTTTAATTATGCTAAACACTATTTCTCTTTATTTTTATTTTTTTTCTTAAAAAACGTAAAAAATAAAAACAACCTGGGTAGTTTTTGGACGGTTTTGCTGTGCGTGACTTGCACGCGAGCTACTAAATTGGTCTTTTTACTTCTAATTAAACCCTTACCGTTAGCAAAAACATTAAAAAAAAAAAAAAAAGAAGATATGTGAAAAATTCATTCTCTGATTTAAATGTTTATAATATTTTTTTTTATAAAAAATACATATAAATTAAAAATAATTTTAATTTACGAACAAAAACCGGCTAAACAAAAACTGAAAAAAAATCAAACAAGACCTTGTTTAGCTGACACAGGGTGCGTTTAGTAGTACTTCTTGGAGCCTAAAATCACTTCTCTAGTCATCAGAAGATGATAATGGTGTTTGGTAAAAACTATAAAAAGTGATTTTTAAAGAATTTTTGAAGAATCTACAGCCAAAATCAGAAGCAGCTCAAAGGCAACTTTAACTTTTAGATTGTGTAAGAATCAATATAATACAGTTAATGATTATCAATACAATTATATTAAGTAATTAATAATTAATAATTAATTATACTATATATTAATTAATAATTAATAAATAGATATACTTAATAACTAATAAATAGATAGTAATTACTTAATTATTAATTAAATATTAATTTATTACTATTAAGTTTTTAATTTTGTTAATAAAATAATAAAATAATATAGTAATTATTTATTTAGTTAAAAATTAATTATATAACATATTAACAATAAAAACAAATAATAATAAGTTATTAAATAATTAATTAATAAGTAATATATCAATTATATATTATGTTTATTATAATCTATTAATTAGTAACTAGTTGATAAATAAAAAATAAATAGTAATTACTCAATTAATAATTAATATTAAATTATCATTATCAATATGTAATATATTAATCAATAATAATTAATAATTGATAATTTAATTAATCA